CACCCATACACCCTACAGCCTTGATTTTGCCTCTTCAGATTTTTTTCTGTTCCCCAAACTCAAAGAACATTCTAAAAGAACATGATTTGGGTCCTTTGAGTGTGCCAAACTGCCGTGGTGTAAATTGAAGAGCACAGAATTCTTCATGGAAAAGTTAGAGAGATGGAAACACTGCCTTCAGGAGTATATAGACTTGGATGGAAGATATATTGAGAAACAGTAGTTTAACATTTTGATATTTTTGCTTAATAAAAGTTTCTATGATTATGTGGCGTCCCGGTGTGGTGCTGTTGGATGATCACTGGACTGCTAAATGCAAAGTCAGTGGTTTAAAGCTGCAACCACTGACATTATGGTTAGCAGTCCAGTGTTTATCCTACAGTGCCACACCAATCGGAATTCCATATCTGAGGGGTTATTTACCTCCTGCATAGGTTCATGGTAGATGCATCATAGGGCCTCTACTGATTCTGCAGTTGCCAATTTCTCCAGCATTCGCGTGTATTTGCTTCTCCCGGCAGCATCCAGAGCCTGCTTTATGACAGAGTATGTTGATGTGGAGTTTTCTGTGCGGGAAAGTCAGGTGGGGGTGTCATTCAGACTGCACTGGATTATAAAAGTACTATATCATTGTCTGGTGTTGCTCTGTGAGTCAATGTGCCAGACTGCAAAGCCATTTGAACTGCAAAGTCGGTGGTTCAAGCTTACCAGCTGCTGTTTGGAAACCCTATACAGGGTCGCTAAGGGTCAGAATAGACTCAACAGCACTTAACAAAAACAGCATATCGGGGTTGTTTGTTGTTAAGTGTCGTCAATTCTGTTCCAACCCATAGTGACCCTGTATAGGGGTTCTGAGGAGCAGCTGAGGAGCTTGAATTGCCACCACAGTGCCACACCAGGACTCACTTTATCATTATTATTTCATTTATTGCATTGTTGTTGTTGAGGCTAAACACAACAAAAGTACACCATTTCCACAGTTTCTACATGATTCCTTTAGTGACTGATTATATTCTTTGATTGTATAGCCATTCTCATCCTCCTTTTCTGAGTAGGTCCTCACTCATTCACATACACTGACTGCCCCTAAAGTTCCAATCTAAGCTTTCAAATTGCTTTTGTCGGTTTGATCCCAGACAGATAGTTCTTAATAAAGCATAATGTTCAAAGCAGGCATTGTTTTGCTTTCTGTTTGATTTTAAGACGAATTGGAGGATATTTTTGGGAAGGTTCAATGATTTTCTCAGGGCAATGATTACAGGAATTCATTCAACCTCTGAGGCGCCAGGAAGCCTGGAATTCATAAGAAATTGAAATTTTGTTCTGTATTTTTTCTGTTTTAATCAGGAGTCTACGGAAGTATTCTGAATCTGCACAGAAATTACCATTTTGTGATTCTTAAGAGAGGTCTGTTTTCAGTGACACTATGTTAATATTTTATACTGAAATGTTCTAAGTTATTTGTCATAAAATATCTTCAAATACATCTTTTATCAGACTCACTCACTGAGAGACTTTGGACAAAGTCTTAGAAGACTCTAGATGTAAATACCTTTTTAAAAAAATACATGAAAATGGAAAATATGTGGCATTTTGTTGTATACTACAGAGCTTTGAGTAAATGCAACAGAGAACGCAGTTCCCAGTACTTTTAAAGATATTTGTTGTTGTTGTTGTTAGGTGCCATTGATTCAGTTCCAATTCATAGCGACCTTATGCACAGCCGAATGAAACACTGCCTGAGCCTGGGCCAATCTATTGTTGCCATGCTTGAGCCCATTGATGCTGCCACTCTGCCAATCCATCTCGCTGTGGGTCTTCTACTTTTTCTCTGACCCTCCACTTTCCCAAACGTGATAGCCTTCTCCAGTGACTGGTCCTTCCTGACAATATGTCTGAAATATGAGAGATGAAGTTTGGCCATCCTGGCCTCCAAGGAGCACTCTGGCTGCACTTCTTCCAACATGGATCTATTGGTTCTTTAGCCAGCCCATGGTACTTTCAATATTCTCCTCCAATACCATAACTCAAAAGCATCAATTCTTCTACAGTCTTCCTTATTCACTGTGCAGCTTTCACATGCATATGAGGTTATTGAAAATACCATGGTTTGGGTCAGGCGCACGTTAGTCCTTAAGCTAGTTCTCAACATCTTTGCTCTTCAACACTTTAAAAAGGTCTTGTGCAGCAGATTTGCCCAGTGCAATATGTCATTTGATTTCTTGACTGCTGCTTCCATGAGTGTTGACAGTTGATCCAAGAAGAATGAAGTCCTTGACAACTTCAATCTTTTCTCCTTGATAAGAATGTTGTTTATTGACCCAGTGTTGAGGATTTTTTTTTTCTTTACATTGAGATACAATCCATACCGTGCTCTTTGATCTTCATCAGTAAATATTTTGTATTCTTCACTTTCAGCAAGCAAGGTTGTATCATCTGCATATCACAGGTTATTAATGTGTCTTCCTCCAATCCTGATGCCATGTTTTTCTTCATATAACCCAGCTTCTTGAATTGTTTGCTCAGCATACAGGTTGAGTAAGTATGGTGAAAGAATACAACCCTGTCATACACCTTTCTTACTTTTAAACCATTCAGTAGTCCCATGTTGTGTTCGAACAACTGCCTCCTGGTCCATGTACAGATTCCTCATGATAACAATTCAGTGTTCCAGAATACTCATACTTTGCAATGTTGTCCATAGCTTGTCATGATCCACACAATTGGAGACCTTTGCATAGTCAATAAAGCACAGGTAAACATCTTTCTGATATTGTCTGCTTTCAGCTAAGATTCATCAGACATCAGCAATGGTATCCGTTGTTATATGGCCTCTTCTGAATCCAGCTTGAACCTCTGGAACTTCTCTGTCAATGTATGGTTGCAGCCGCTTCTGTATTACCTTTAGTAAAACTTGACTCGCTTGAGATATCAAAGAGATTGTCTGATGATTTCCGCATTCCACTGGGTCACCTCTCTTTGGAATGGGCACAAATATGTATCTCTTCCAATAAGTTGGCCAGATAGTTATCTTTCAAATTTCTTGGGAGAGATGAGTGAGTGCCTCCTGTGCTGCCTCACTTTCTTGAAATATTTCAATTTTTATTCCATTAGTTCCTGATGCCTTGTTCTTTGCCAGTTCCTTCAATGCACCTTGGACTTCCTCCTTCAGTATCATTGGCTCTTGATCATATGCTACCACTTGAAATGATTGAACATCAACCATTTCCTTTTGGTACAGTGACTCTGTGTATTCCTTCTACCTTCTCTTGATGCTTTCTCTATCATTCAATAATTTGCCCAGAGAATCCTTCAAGATACTTAGAGTTTACTTATCTCAGTATAATAGGTAGTGCTTCTTTGCATCTGAGTAGTGACAGGTAGGTTTGAGTCTGGCAACATGGCTCTATTAATATGCCTCAACTCCTTTGCTGAGCTTTTAGAGATGACTTGCACTTTCAAATTTTGGTTTCAATATGACTCTGTAGAAACAGACACATTTATCAGCTCATTCTATTGGTGATTTATTGTTGTGGTTGTTGTTAAGTGTTAAATGGCATTCTACTTATATCGACCTCATACAGGGTTTCCAAGGAGCAGTTGGTGAGTTTGAACTGTTGATCTTGTCATTAGCATTCCAGTGCTTATCCTACAGCATCAAACCAGAATTCCTTTATCAGAGATGGTGGTGGTGGTAGTTGTATGCCACGGAGTCGATTTTGACTCATAGCTACCCTGTTTTATAGGTTTCTGAGGTTATAAATCTTTATGGGAACAGAAAACCTCATCTTTCTCCCATGGAGCAACTATCTCATAAATTTGAACTGATAACCTTGCAGTCAGTAGCCCTGCTCCTACTCCACTAACCTACCAGGGCTCCTTCTCAGTGATAGAAGATACAGTCTGTGTGGGATCTATTTGTTGAGAGTAAAGTATATGTACAAAGTTCTTGGATGATGTCTGTTGCCACAACGGTATTGTGTAACTTTATTTTCTTCCATTCTCTATCTGGCAGAATCTAGCTTTGTCAAGAAAGGTGTGGCTATCGATGTTTATGGCTCTCCATAAATGCCAATGTGGACAAACAGCATCAAATCTTCCTTTGAGTCTGATGCCTAGCCATTTATGATGATTGGTTTAGAAGCATAATGAAACTATTCACATAGATCTTTTATTCTTTTGTGTTTGATTTCTATTGTATAGAATATGGTAATATTGGCGGAGGATGAAATTCTTTATTTCGTATGACATGACTGCTAATGGATGTTCTTTTTAAAGAGGGCAACTCTGCATATTGTTTAGCTCAGAGTCTGTGTCCCTTCAACATGCAAGTGATAGAATCACAACTGAATTAGTTTAATGGTCTCAAAAAAGTAACAAGCAATAAAGTTTACATCCTAATTGAAAGCGCACAGTGCATTTTATGTGCTTTTTTTCCCCTAGAGAAAATTCATTTTGAGCTCTATCTGTGTATGTGTGCGTGTAGTATGCAGTTTGTCTTATTTGGTTTGTCTTTGGCTCTATTCTCTCAGAGCTTCGTTGCCTTGGTTACCATTACATACTGCTTGTATGTGAAGTTCCCCTTTGACGTGCATTTATTTCTATGGAAACAGTGACGTTATTGGTATGGGTAGGTGCTTTGAGAAAAAGAAAATGAATAGTGAGCTTTCCTTTGGTCATAAAATATGTCATTAAAGTATTTGTTAAATTAGAGACTTATTTTATGCTTTCATTTTGATTTGATCATGAAGTTTCTTTTTTCCTTTGTTTTTACAGATCTACTTGAAGAAAACGACTTAAAAGTGTTAAATATACTGTATAACAACTTATCATAATATATGGCAACCATAAAAATAGTCATAGCTATATTTAACATAAAAAGAATTATTGCTCTAACCTTAAAAGTGTCTCAGAGAATGAAAAGTTTATCTCAGTAACATTTGTAATCATGAAATGCTATTGAGCAATAAATCTTATAGCCTCATTTTTTTTCTTTACAGATGATGTGGAAACCAGCCTACGATTTTCTGTATACTTGGAGCGCTCACTATGGAAGCAGCTACAGAGACGCATTACAAGACCTTCAATCAGCTGTGGACAGAATGAAAAATCCTGTGACCAAGCAGTGGCGTGATTTAACAGGAGCTTTAATACTAGTAAATTCTCTAGAGACTTTGAGAGCAACTGCATTCTCTACTTCTGAGGAAGTATAGACATGAAGAGTGTGTTTTTGAAGGAGGGGGAGGGTAGGAAGAAAATGATATGTGTGTGTTTGGATTTGAAAAAGGGGAACAATTTCAGAAAAGTATTATACTCATTTTTTATCATGTGCAAGCACAGCCTAAAATAATATCCAAATGTGAATTTTACAGTGTGTGTATATATATACAAACACACACACATACATATATATTGTTGTTAAAACCTGTTCAGTCAGTTCCAACCCATAGCCACCCTATATAGGGTTTCTGAGGAGCAACTGGGTTTCTGCCAAACTTGTGGTCCAGCACATTACTCTGCAGCTATATATGTGTATGGAGTCCTGGTGTGGCACTGTGGGCTATTGCGTCAGACTGCAAAGTCATTTGAACTGCAAGGTCAGTGGTTCAAGCTCACCAGCTGCTCCTTGGAAACCCTATACAGCAGGGTCACTATGGGTCAGAATTGCCTCGATGGCATTTACCAAATATATATATATATATATACACATTTTTGTGTATGTTTCAAATACAATGCTAGACTACTTTGTTGTGATGCATGAAACAAAATATATCTTCCTCAAAGTTTTTTTTTTTATTTCCTTGATTTAAGTCATGTGATTATTAGAATAATAACATCACCCAGGTGCTCAGATGAACCATAAGATCACAAAATAAACAACTGAAGTTTTACCAGGGGGCAAGGATGAAACAGGAGAGATCAAACATACACACTCTGTGGCCAAGAGCAGGGCTATATACATTGTTTACCTGATATCTTTTATTTTTCATTAGTTTCTGCTGATTTCTCCCATTTTCATGTAAAGAAACATGGAACTAGAGAGAGAAGACCCAAGGCTATGTAGCTCACAGGAAGTATGATTCTGGTCAGTAAAACCTGACAGTTGTTGTTCTTCTTTTTAAGCATACCACATAGCAGAATAGTAAAAATATATCAATAAATAAAGAGAAAAGCTTTACTGCATATTAGAACTGGTTATGGATTGAATTATGTCCCCAAAAAAGTATGTGTCATCAATCCAAACCTCTGTGTCTATGGTTGGAGTCCTGGTATGGCACTGTAGGATAAAGCAGTGGACCACAAGGTTGGTTTGAACCACAAGGTTGACAGTTCAAACTCACCAACTGCTCCTTGGAAACCGTATAGAGGGTCACTATGAGTCATAACCGGCTCAATAACATGCCTGTTATAATCCCATTTGAGATCGGTTGTTTTTGTTCTCTTAATGAGATAACATGGATGTAGGTATATTTGAATCAATTTCTTTTGAGATAGAAAATAAATTAAATGCAAGTTAGAAGCAGAGATGGCAGAAAAGAGATGCCATGCCACATGAAGTTTGTCCAGGAGCACAGAAGCTCAGAAGAGACAAGAATCCTTCCCCAAGCTCCTACAAAGAGAAAACTTTTCCCTAGAGACGTTTTCCGCTAGTCTCTGAATTCAGACTTCTAGCCTCTTAAACTGTGAGTGAATAAATTGTAGTTTGTTTCAGCCATCTACTAGTGGTATTTCTGTTATAGCAGTACTAGTTAACTAAGACATACTTCATGGGGAAACTTGATTTTAATTGGATGTTGTTGAGCTTTTTCATCATCTTTTGAAAGACTGCTAAGAGGGAAACTGACTCCTCATCTAAAATCCAGAGTCTAACCCTAAGGGCCTGGACGTTCTCACCAGTCTTCTTCAGTATGTTGAATTCTATCTAATCCTACTTCACTCAGTGCTTTTCTGCAGGATTACAAAGAACAGTAATTCTTTAGCTCTCAGGGATCTTTAATATCAAGAGTTATTAAAATCAAACAATAAACAAAAACTTGATTTAACACTGTTAAATGTAATGGTTTTGAACAATTAAAAACAGTAATGTGTGTGTGGGAGAGGGAGAAAGAAAGTATTTTATAAAGCTCTGAAAGACAAAGATATTGTGTCAGTATAAATGCTAAATGCTGGAGAAGTTCACAAAGACAAGATCTGTCCCACCTGCCTGGGTTCACGTATGTGGACAGTGATTTATTTATTATGCTTCCATTTGATGGATACGCTATGTGCATCTATTTTGTGACTGGCACGAAAGTGGCTGAAATTAATGCTGGAAGAAACAACCTGACACTTGACTTCAGTACTACTTAGTGAGAAAGAAAAAGAAATATATGTATAAGCATATATATATAAATTATCTTTGAATATATATATATATATAAATAGATCTTTGATTATATATACTTATCTTTGAATATATATATATACTTATCTTTGAATATATATATATTTATCTTTGAAAATATATATTATCTTTGAATATATATATATATCTTTGAATATATATATTATCTTTGAATATATATATAGATAGATAGATGTATATATTCTGCTCTCGTAAAGACTTACAGCCTCGGAAACCCTATACAGTGTCGCTATGAGTCAGAACCAACTCCACGGCACATAACAACAACACCTATACACACACACACACACACACACACACACACACACACACAGTTAAGGAGCTCGGGTAGCGTAGTGGTTATGAATTGGGCTGCTGACCTCACAGTCAGCAGTTCGAAACTACCAGCTGTTCCGTGGAAGAAAGATGAGGCTTTCTGCTCCGTAAATATTTACAGTCTCAGAAACCCTGTACAGGGTTTCTATGAGTCGGAACCGACTCCATGGCACATAATAACCACATATTCATTTAAATGTAAAATGGCATCCTTAATAACAGCCTCAGGGAAGATGGTGGTACTAAGAAGCATATAAATGTGTTGGAGGTATCATCTGGGGGGTTGGGGGGTGGGGTGGGGGACTGGTAATTTTCCTTGGGGAAGAAATAGTGAGCCTGAGGGAAGGAGCTGATGTTGTCTCCAGTCTCTGGGTGGAAAAGGCCATTCCTCAATGCATGAAAGCCCTTAGGCAAGAGGGAAGCTTGGTAGGAGTCAATAGAGCCAGCCTGGTGGGCCAAGAGATAAGATGAAATAAGGAGAAGGCCATTTTAGAGCCATTACAACCTCTTGAATATAGGAAAGAAAGACACACCCTCAAAGTAATGAGCATCAGCTGAATAAGGATTTTGTTTCAGGATCCTGAATAAAACATGTCCATTTGGCTAAAAAATAAAAACAAAATCTTTCCAGAGCTTTTAATACACTACCCCAGAGGTATTTGGTGTACTGGCAAAGGTAATTTGAATTAGGGTTGAAGAACAATCTTGAAGACTTTCAATATTTATATTTGATGATAAGAGAACACAGCTTGCTCAAGAAGTTATGTATACATATTCAAGGACAGAGCTTATTTTTAGTTGAAAATAAATTCAGAGAGAAATACACAATTTGGAAGTTCAAAACACGGTAGTATTTAGTGTTAATTTTTCTTTCTTTAGAGCAAACTTGGAGTCTTATTAACATGTCAATGAATCAAGGAATTCAGGGAAGGGATGGTGGTGGCTGTAGTTTTGTGCTGTTGAGTTGTAACTGCTGACCTTGTGGTTCGCAGTCAAACAGGTAACTCATTACACCTCCAAAACTCCTTCAGAGAGGGGTTGTTGGTAAGTACTGTCAAGTACTTTCCAACTCATAATGACCATATTTAAGGTTTCTGAGGAATGGCAGGTAGGTTTGAACTGATAGCCTTGAGATTAACTGTCCAATATTTATCCTACAGAGCCACACCTGGACTCCTATGAAAGGGATGTTGCTATTAAGTGCTGTAGAATTCTGACTCAGCAAGTCCTTGAGTTACCAAGGAGAACCTGATGGGTTTGAACTGTCAACCTTGCTGTTATTGGTCCAGCGTTTATCTATAGTTCCACACAAGGGCTCCATGAAAGGGATTGTTATTGTTGTTGTTAAGTGCTGTTGAGTTGGTTCTGACTCATATCCTGTATAGGATTTCTGAGGAACAACTGGTGAATTTGAACCACTGACCTTGTGGTTCAAACTGACCTTGTGGTCCAGTGCATTATCCCACAGCGTCACAACAGGACTCTACGGAAGGGATGGTAGGGAATTAATAAGTTTTCCTAGGCTCCCAGCTCAGAGAAGAGAGAGATCTTAGCTGCTTAGAGTAGAAAGATTAAGTAAATTACTTCAGGTTTACATGGCATCATATGTTGTTATTGTGGTTGAGGAGTTTAAGAATACTTTTTTTAAAAAATGAAAGACACAATCTCTGTAGTTTAAGGATGAAGCAACAGTTTAAATATGAATACATTACAAATACATCTTGTAATCTTGTAACAAATCCTTCTGGAGGAATTTTAAACCCATGTCCAAACAATCTGTTCTTATAAATATACTATCTTTATGCATCAGTTCTGCATTTAAAATTCTTATGTTTTTCCTCCTATAATGGATTTTCATAATAAAAAAAGATTAATTTGAGAATGCTGAGTTATCTCTAATAGTTGCCAGCTTACCACAAACAAGTCAAGGGAATTAATAAAGCACTTAAACTTCTCCTTGGCATCATTAAAAGCCTCAAAAGCCATTAATCTAAAACTTCTTTAAGTATTTTGAAAGTGTTAAAGCATAGATGGTTCTTAGTGTTGTTTCTCAGGATTTTTGTTTAATGATGCTGTCTTAAGGTGAGATTTCCATCCAATGCTCCATTTAGAATGCATCAATCTTTCTGTATAAGTCACAGATCTTCTACTTCCTTCTATTTAAAATTACGAAAAACAATTCAGGATATGAGTTCACTAGTATATCATTCATTGTTGGTAACAATAATAGATGCAACACAACACATTTTCATTGTAATATAGAAGCAATGGACTGCTAATCACAAGGTTGACATTTCAAACCACCAGTCACCCTTTGGAAACCCTGTACCGTGTAACTATGTGTCGAACTGACTCATTGGCACTTAACAACAACAATGTAGAAAAGAAATACATGAAGCTTTCAATGATTACGGAATGACTAGGTCTTTAGAACACAATGCAGTGTATCCATAGAAAGACCTGAGGTGAGAAATGTTGTTATAAACAGTGATG